ATGAAAAGAGACTTTAACAATGGTATTGCAGTGCACTAAGCTTATTGTTTCTCAATGATGTTGAGTAAAATATGCTCATTATACAAGATGTTTGTAAGTGCCAAACTTGTAAGCTCAACCTGGGACCTGAGAATCAGTCTGGGTTCTTTTCTTCTCATGTATTCTCACCAGTTGTATAGCATCTGCTGCCCAAATTAGGTCCTCAGTTTCACCTGGTCAGCTGTTGAGGCCTTTTCAAATTATGGCTTGAGTTGCACATGCATAATTCTGATGTCCAATTATGCACCGCCCTTGGGTGACATTTTCACAATCCTGTTGCTTTTTTAGCTATTAATGATCGTCTCTGCAGCTAGAATTTAGTGAAATATCTTGTTGATGCACAAAAAGATACTGAATCCTTTTCATTCACTATTAGTCATATTGGCTGTGTAGGGCTAATAAAAGTAAAATGCAGCACAAGCACAATTTGATAATGAAAATAAAGCGATATCACTTTACATACAAGGAACAGATGTGTGGTGAGTAAGTATGTGCCATTTTCACATAGTTACTTTCCAAAATAGAAATATACTTCAGGCCTGAGCATCAAGAATTTGTGCTACTAGTGAACTGATTACAGAATATATTCTAATATATTTTAGACCTTTCTTCTTTAAAAAATTGGATATATTTCAACAAGAAACCAAGAACATTAAAGCGAGTTCACATCACTGTAGAGCTAATATCAGTTCTTACACAAAAACTAAAGTATAGCAGCCTTTACATCTGTTAGGATCTGAAGGAACTGGGTTACATAAAAGCTCTATGTGGCCAATGCACATCTTATTTGCTAACACAACCATGCTATCTCTGATATAGTTTGTACATGGCACTACATTCTGTTGGTACAAACTATAATTTTGTGAGCTGCAGGACTTCATTAAAGACAATCATCTTTTTAAGCAAATGTTGCTAGTCTATTTTAGCTCATCAGAAAGATCTGTGTCCTACTAGTAAGCAGTGTTTCTTAAACTTTTAAGCCGAGGAACATCGGGGAAAGTAATTAAGCAAAAAAAAAAAAGGCAGCCATTTTAAACTCTGTTGTTCTCCGCGGCACACCTCACCAGTGTTCCCCGAAACACAGTTTAAGAAACACGGCTGGTTAGTAAAGTATTGATGTCCCAGTAGCTCAGTTTCAGAGATTGGGAGTACTCGACCTCTTAAGATCCGCAAACTTTATAAGCATACTCTCTATGCCATTATCTAAATAGTTGATGAAGATATGAACAGAGCCAGTCCCCAAACTGATCCTTGCAGAATCCCACTTGTTATGCCCTTCCATCATGACTGTGGACCATTGATAACTACTCACAGAGAATGGTTATCCAACCAGTTATGTACTCACCTGATAGTAGCCCCATATATGTTGTATTTCCCGAGGTTATTGATGGAAAAAGTCATGTAAGACTGTATCAAATGCTTTACTAAAGTCTAATCTGTACCACATCTACCAATTCCCCCTTATCCACAGGTCTTGTTAGTGTATCAAAGAAAGCTATCGGGATGGTTTGACATGATTTGTTCTTTACAAATCCATGCTGACTGTTTATTATCATTTTATTATCTTCCGGATGTTTGCAGATGGATTCCTTAATTATTTGCCCCATTATCTTTCCTGGCACAGAAATTAAGCTGACTCTCTCTCATCTTCCATGACTTTTCAAAGATGATAGCTAATATCTCAGATACCTTCTCAATCAGCATCTTGAGTATTTTATGATGCATTTTATTAGACACCTAACTTTTCTAAGTAATTTTAAAGTTTTCTTTTCCTATTTTATCTACATTTATATATCAGGTGGCCTGAAAGAAGTTCTCTGAGACATATGACCACTCTCTAAAATCTAGGCAGAGATTTGCTTGGTTAGAATTCAGCAGCTTGCTTGCTAGTGGATACACCGTTCCAGAAAAATGAGATGTCATGTTTTGGGAGTTGTACTAGCCACCTTGTAGGTACTGAGCAAAAATTAAGGTGTTAACTTTGACTTGCAAATCCCTAAAGGTGCGTCTACACAGCAAAGTTATTTTGGGATAACGGCCGTTATTCTGAAATAACTATGCGAGCATCTACACAGCAATTCCGTTATTTCAAAATCATTTCAAAGTAATGAGAAGCTTATTCTGACCTCTGTAAACCTCCTTCTACAAAGAATAATGCCTATTCTGAAATAGCTATTTTGGAATAGGGGCTGTGCAGACGCTCCACTTCTGCTATTTCAAAATAGCCCCTCACCAGGGCCAGTCTAACTTGTTCCTCCCCAGTGCCTCCTGGGCCTCTAAATCGAAATAGCACATCTCTATTAGGGAAGCCTGCCTCAGACTAATTTTGGGCTTCCCTGCAGTGTAGACATGCTATTTTGAAATAAGCTATTTCAGAATAACTATCCTGGAATAGCTTATTCTGAAATAAATGTGCAGTGTAGACATAGCCTAAGTGGGTTGAGCCCAGTATATTTGAAAGAGTACTTTTTTCCATGCCAAACTGCCACTGTTGCTTGACAGAGGGGCTAGCCATCATTGGATTGTTCACAAGAGCCCCAGAGCTTCAAAACTTTCTCTCTGCCTGTCCAAAATAATCCTATTCCAGGATGTGCTGCTAGGTCCACATGTTTTTCCTTAGTTATGAGGCATTGGAAAGACTCTAGGGCTATGTCTATATTGTGCTTTCTTGCACAAGAACATATGCAAGTGAGGCACGGCAATGAATATCACCGTGCCTCATTTACATACTTAATGAGCTGCCATTTTTGCACAAGGGGCTTTTGCGCAAAAAGGAGCAGTCCACACTTGCACAAGAGCCGTTCTGCCACTTATTTTCAGGCAGAATGGCTCTTGTGCAAGAGGGGAGTTTTGTGCAAGAAGGAGCAGTCTACACTTCTCTTGGTGATATTCATCGCCATGTCTCATTTGCATACGTTTTTGTGCAAGAAAGCACAATGTAGATGTAGCCTGGATGCTTATAAGACCATCAGAATGTTTTAGCTGCTAGTTATAATATACACTAAGAATTGGGTGAAGGAATAGTCTGTTTTTATAACTGCATTTTAAGTCTTTCATGGAATGCCTGAAGCAAAAATAGGCTACTCTTTTCAATGATTGAGAGCACAAATTAAAATAAATGAAAATATGTGGTTTTTGTTAAGTTGACTATATCTTTTTTGTGGATCCTTGCCTGTATATTTCAAATGGATATTTTAGAGGCTAGTATTAGTGTTGAGGAGTGATTTGAGGATGACAGAATATATACATCTGTCCTGCTGTTTGCTCCCAGGACTTTATCTATACATTCTGGTGGTAGATAGTATTTACAGTCACCTTGTTACCTGAAAACATTAGCAGCCCCCATGATTTTATATTGCCATGCAGGTTTTCCATGATTCAGGATATGTCCATGTCTTTCTAGATTTTCCCCTTTTAGGTTATTATAAACTGGTAATCATGAATATGTTGTAGACCCATCAGGCATAATTTGTAGCAAATAGAAAATAAGTTCATTACAGTATGGTACATTTTATCATTGTTTATTCCTACAGTGTTATATGGATGTTTGCTTGTTAATTTACCTCTCAGAATTTGGTTCTAAATAATTCCAGACACTCCTCCATATGCCGCATCAAAGATCTTTAGCTGATGTAGTATAGCTTCATTGAGTTCAGTTGGTAACTTGAATGGGCTTTAGGTGTTCAGTCTGCAATAACATCAAACCATCTCCAGAGATACCTAAATATAAATTTAACATCTTAACTAGGTCAATATTGTCTAACAGCATTACCAACATTTTCACTCCTTATTGGGCTTTTAGAAGACATTTAGGAGTAATTTAGAGCTAAATAACGAATGCTGAGAACCAGGCATTGTGGCTGTAAACAAACTTCATGGGACCATGGGAAACTTGACGACATCCATGATAAGTGGATATCTAGCTAACTAAAACCATGCCAGACTAGAGAATGCTGGACTCAAAAGTTCAACCTGTACAATTACATGCTATCCTTTCAGTCACATCCATACTACTTTTTGCATTTGTCTGAAAGTGATCTATGTGGCATGACCATTTCCTAGAACATTTTTTAATTCCACTCTTTTATTTTCAGTTAGATTTTTTTTAACAGCAGGGCAGATTGTATTCAGACAGCCATGTGACAGAATCTGCTTGAGTGAGATGTTTCTAAATTTGCAGAATTATCTTTAGAACAATGAAGAGATGGAATTATCTTTAGAACAATGAATAGATGGCTGTCCACGAGTGTCTTTTCAGGGGGTTTCTGAACTGAATTTGAAAGCAGTTGATTAAGAGATTAACATGTTGCTTTTCACAGCATCTGTTTTATAAAGAACCCCATAGCGGTGACTATAAAATAGGTAGGAGTTTTGGGAAAAACATATAATGTAAACATCCACTTACTGCAATCACATGTGCAGATTTGATGTTTGCATTCTCAATTGTTTTTCTCACTGATGATGTCCTCTTTCAAACATCTGATTTGGGTGTAGTTATATACAGACGTTTCACATGCTATTGTATGCTTGACTTTTTGATAATCTGGCCCATAATATATGTATCTGATTATAACAAATTGATGATAGACATGACAATATCTTGGCATATTTTTCAATGTAGCCCCTTTATATATTGATTTGATTTGTACTTCTTTGAATATCTTCAAGTCTAGTAAAGAATATGAATGTGAATGAAGCACTAAGCAGTGCATTATGTACAGTGTATTGCAATGAGATTAGACATAAAAGATATGTTGACATATATCTATATTATAAATGATATGCAGTATTTATAGAACAGCCCTGTGACCTAGAGAACCTAGTTATGAAAAACTAGCTTACAAACAAGATAAATCAGATGTAAATCAAAGATTGTACAATAATGTTTATTGATTGATTGTATTTGCTCTTAGAGCTCAACAGTGCATATAATACATTATATTTTTTCTTTCTTTCTACAGTACTTGGGGTGTATAGAAGTCTTACGCTCAATGAGATCTCTTGACTTCAACACTAGAACACAGATTACAAGGTAAGACATTTTGCAAAATAATTCACATTGTTAACTCTTGTATTGTCTCCACACTGTTAAGCATATGACTGGAGAAGAGCAGATATGCAACAAAATATCTGGCCCCATTCTATGGCCCCATTCTTATGTTTCACATTTACCGTTAGACATTTTATATTAGTGTCATTCCAGAGTTACTTAAAGAGTATTTTCTGCCTGTTCTTCTGCCTTTTCAGGCCCAAATCAGCAAAGCATTTAAGTATGTATTTTACTGCATCCCTGTTCAGCACAGCACTTGTTTAAGTACTTATTTAAGCCCCACTGAAGTCAATGAAACTTAGCATGTGCTTACTAGTAAGCAATAACGAAACATTTTACTGAATAGGGATGGACTGCAGAATCAGCTCTCAATGCCTGAAATACTAAAAAGCCTTCAGGAATTTTCTGTGTATAAATATTTTAATTTACCCCAAAAGAAGGGTAAATATTTTTAAAAACTAAAACTCTACAGGACAGAAAATATAAATGAAAATAAATCAGTAGAATGGCAATAGAAATAAATATAATCCTATTATTTGTCCAGGCAACACATAATAAAGAGTAAACATATACTGGATAGAGAAGAGAATTTCTAAGCACAGCATTTTAAAAAAATGCATTGCTAAAGCAGTCTATAAAGATTATACTGCTTTTAAAACATTATCCATGAATAATTTTATTTATAAAGAGATTCTTTAGGAGGAAGTGCAGCACATGTTTGTTTGTATATATTCTCATTTTAGGGCATGTTCCCATTTACTTTGAATCAAACCCTTACTGTAGCAAGATGCTATTGTCTTCTAGCATTTGGATAGTATAGCTTTCAAAAAAACGTAGCAAATCAGGTGTCAAAGATCCACAGACATAAATCATTCTGTTTGAAAAGAAAAACATAAAATGGGAGCAGTGGTGAAGATTGTTGATTTTAGAATTCAGGGAGGTGGGTGTGGATGGCGATTCTGGAAAATACCTTCTGATTTCTAGGGACCCATGGGCGGTGGATAACCTCACGGCTTGGGGAGGCAAGCTCTCCAGCTCCATCCCTTCTGGCTGAGGCCCCTTCTCTTTTGCCTATCCAAAGCCCAACACTCTCCTTCCCCCATGGCCAATGCTGGCCCTTCCCCCATGGCTGCAGCCTGCTCCAGCTGGCCCTGGAGTTCCAGAGAGCCAGGGGGTGGGGGGGCTGCCACACGCCCCAGCCAGCCCTGGAGAGTCAGGTGGTGGTGCAACTGCAGCCTGCTTTGGCCGGCCCTAGAAATCCAAGAGGTGGCATGGCTGGAGCCTGTCAGCCTCGGCCCAGAGGAACCCATCCCCTCCCGAATCCAATCCTCTAGGTCTGAGCTCAGTTGGCTAGCCAGAGCCTTTGCCAGAGCCACAACTTCTGCACTGCTTTTTTTTTTTTTAAAGCATGCTGGCTTGAGCTGAACTATCGTGAATCTGTGTACCCGAACTGGGAGACTTCTCCCAGCTGCAGTATAGGCATACCCTACGGATCCTTTAACTGGGTGCTCAGATACTACGATGAGATGGATGACAGAATGTTATATACTCCCATCAAACATTCTAGGCCTTAGAAGACATTTTGAGAATTTGTCTTGTAAGCTGTCCCCATAGTTTCTCTCTTTGTTTCTACAGTATTCACAATGATGGCCATTTAAAGTGACTTCCTGCTAGGCAGAATTTTAGTTCTGACACAGGTGGCACGTTTTACTTACCTCTTGGATAGCTAAATGATACTGCTTTATAAAACAATTTGCAATACCTACTTGCTTTGGGATTTTACATCTGGATATGAGCCACTCTTTAGTTGGTATACATTTCACTTGGTTTAGCATTGCTTTTTTTCCCTCCTGTAACTAGTTTTAAGACACACTCTGTCAGGAAAACTCAACCATATTTGCCAATCAAAAAGCAGTATAATCTGCAGTCATTTTATGTGAAAATGTCACTGCTCCAGTGGTCTCTGAGCACATGAATATTTTTGGCTTTAACTGTGAAACATACTTTTGGAAAAGGACATTGTTTTGTTGAAGTTGTAGGATAGCTGATCACATATGAGGCACTTTCTTGGCTCATATTCTTTTGACCACATGTAAAACATAAAAAAGTTGTAGGCAGAAAACCTTATGTTGCTCAGAGTTTCTGATTTTTTTAAATGATGCCACGTAGATTCATTCCTTATCCATTCATAGGGTTTCATTGCAAGTCCACTGATGTCAGTTGGAATTTTTTAATCAGATGCTATCACCTGAATCTTCATTTCATGAATTTCACTGAGATTAGAAATGCCCCTGGCTTGGGTTACAGTTAAAGCAATCACCACTGCAATTTCATATTTCTCATATAAGCTTATTTTTTATTAGGAGGTCACATATTTCCCAAAATTCACCTATGAGCTTTAACCTTCATTGTAAAATGTCACATACACATCAACTGGTTCATGCTGATCTCAGTTACAAACAACAAACAAAAGTCTCTATTCAGTCACATTTATTCTAGGATTGTAGTAATTCTGTAATTTATCCATAATCGGTGCCAAATGCTCTGTGTCATTGTTCATATTCTTGTATAAACAGTGTGTAGCTGTGGTGCTACTGGGTCTTTCAAATGAGGCATTATCATTGCTTGCTTGTTAGCTGATTTCTCTGTCACTCCTTTGACCAGCGAGAATAATTTTAAAGTTTGAAAACCTTTTTGTAGTGGATCAGCAGCAGCAGGGATTGAAGCTGGGGCCTGTGATGTCTTTACTGCCTGAGCAAAAGAGGTCATGTTTAGTGAGCACTCTGGTGAGAATATGAGCCCAGTCAGAATCTGCCAGGATTCTGGAAACATCTATTTTCTGGTGAACATGCTGAAGGCTTGTCACATGAATGTGTGCATAGACAGTTGCATAGTCACTAGAGATGTTAAGGGGTAACCTTACTGAGTGATGCTTATCGGTTAACCTGGTGATCCAGCTGGGCTGGAGCAGCCCCCTACTTGTAGTGTGACACAGTGGGCCTGGCTGGGTTAGAGCAGCACACTGCCTACGTTGTGGTTCAGTGGACCCAGCCCAAGCAGCCCTGGCCATGGTGTGGCGGGGTTGCTTAGCCTGTCCAGAGCAGCCCATAGCATGGCCTGGCTGGGCTGCAGCTGCTCCCACCACAGTGCACTTGCTCAAGCCTGGCTGGGCCTGCCATGCCGTAGGCAGAGGACTGCTCCACCACTATTCGATTAAACATAGTGTTGAACCGGTTAACTTTTTAAATGATATCCCTAGTAGTCACTCCTAATATAACATTGACAGTTCATCCCATGTTGGGACTCCCCATTGCATACTCCTCTTTCTTGTGGGGCAGATTTTCAAAAGATTTCAGCTCTCACAATTAGCGCCAGATTTCTGAAGAGCTCAGCACCCAATTAGGCACCACCATAAGTGGCCACGTTTTCAGAAGAGATGAGCTCTTTTGAAAAATCTGACCCTAAAATTCCTTTTCCCAACTTTTGCCAATATCAGTAATGAGTAGTAAGGAGAGGTAAGAGATTCCCGAGGAGGTGATCACAAGTAAAGGAGCCAAGGAGTAGTTTTATCTGAAGCACAAAACCCTAAGAGCTCAGAAAACTTAAATTCAATAGTACACACATCTATTGCATCTTTAAAATAATACCAAGAGGTGGAATGGGAGGGAGACAAAGTTCCTGGAGAGGGATCAGGTTAAAAGGTTGTGTAAATGTCATGTATTTGATAATATGCATTGTTCAGGTGTATAGAATTTATTTTTGGCCAGCTTGTGACCCATTCTACTGGCAAGCTTTTACTCTTAAATAGTCCTAAGGCTTGTGTGAATAAGTGCTCATCCTTATGGGTGAAAGGCTCAACAATCTTGCCCATAATCCAAGGAGAAGAAAGTTGTAATTCACTGGGAGCTTCTGTTGATCTCAAGAGCAAAAATTTCTAAGACAGTTTTTAAAATTATGCCCATGGTGTGTCACATCTAAGCTTTTGCATATGCAAAATCACAGAGTTGTCCATACCTGTTACATTGATGTTTGCTTGTGGAGAGAAAGACAGGTTCCTTTTAGTCAAATCGCAGAACTGAGAGTCAGGCTCGTAGGTTCTATAGATTCTGGCTTCTTGTGTCTCCTTGGACAAGCCACTTAATTTCTTTGGACCACAAAGGGTTGTGAGATTAAATAAATTAATGTTTGTAAAGTGCACTGAAATCTTTTGATGGAAAGGACTGTAGAATGTCAAACATTAATAATGCTGATTGAGATTTTAAAAGAGTTTGATGTCCAAACAGAGTTAGATGTCCAAATTTCATTAGAAATTAATGGGATTTAGGTCTACAAATCCCCTAGAAGGTTTTGAAAATCCCACCCATTATTATTAATGAGATATTTTTTATACTGAAATCCAGAATATGCTTGGGCAAAACTAACACATGAAAAACTGGTGAAACTTTTGAAGACCCAGATAAATATGATTTGCTTAGGGGTCTTTCTTTTCTTAAGATTAGTTGTGGAAAATATAAGCTATGGTCACTGTGTTTCACTTGACACTTTATTTGTCCAGCATTTAACTTGAATTGTTTATCATTTAAAAAAAATTAAAATGTTAAATATTTAATAGTTCATGTACTTTTCTCCTTGAGTGAAATCAATGAACAGCTGCTTCCATTTACTATACTAGTAGTAAAAGGGTATCAACTGAGTGCTGGCCAGAAAAAGGTAGTATTATATCATTTTGTGGGCATTGTTTATGGAGAAATGAATAGGTAAGTATGAGTTGTATGAGATTTTTCCTTGATTGTTATGAAATTTGAAGTTGCCAGAGACTTTTACTATAAAGCAAATATGAAAATTAGAGTGTTGTTGTATTGTCAATTGTACCTATTCTTCTGTAATCTTCATGTGAATCTTTGAACTTTTAAATGGATGTGCAAGCAAAAGTATCAGCAGATATAGATAATGGTAAAATAAAGCCAACTGAAATCACAGAT